TATATCTGGTTCACCATTGACTTCCATTGCGTCACAACTTCTTGGAATTGTGGTTGTAAGTTTATGAACCACCTATCCGGGTTAGCTTTATGACCCCATCTCATTGTAGTTCCATCGTCTGCAGAAACAAAAGTAGGTTTGTTTCCATTTGGTAGGTTCTGAATGAACTTTAAACAATGTTTCATTTCTTAGTTGTGGTGAAATTTAACCTTTTATTTTCACCGAGTTCACCAAAGATTGAACGTTAAATGCTCGTAAGTAAAAAGGGTTGTTGTATTGTGTACATTTTCTTTCAGTGCTTCCATTCTATGCTGAATATTTTCATCTGTGTTGGAGTCTTTTGTATGTCGGCAAACATTTTTCGATATTCTTCTACTATGTCAGCCGAATTTTTTTGACTCTTGGAAAATTCCATATTCTCCGCAACTCTTGTTGAGGGTCAAGATTTTTCGGCTGTTCCAAATCTTCATCTAGTTCTGTGAAGTTAGTTTCCAAAGGAGGACTTGTTCGTTTCTTCTCAGGCTTCTCTAGCTGTTGTTGCTGAACTATTTCTTCCATGTCTGGTTGTATCTGAACTTCTTCCTGTGGAGTTTCTTTACTTCATCTGCTGGCATTTCATATTCCGAGACCGTTTTCAACAAGTTCCCTATTTAAGTCATTGCATTCATAACCTTTTTCTTTCGTTCCGTCTCTATTTTTTACGCGTTTCATGAAGAAAGTTGAATTGTCATTTAGCTCTGACACCAAATATCTCGGAGTAAATTCGTTCATGTCATTTGATGATATGCTATTAAATCATATCCCTTGCGAGCTTGTATTTTCCAGGTTTGAAATTATATCCATTTGGTGTGAGCCATAAAGCTAAATAGGTTCGGGTCAGTATTTCCTTCTTGAACTTTCAATAGCTTCTTTATATCTGTCACTAAAGTCAATAGTATTGGGTAACCATAGTCTTCTTTAAGCATTTTTAAGAATTCTTGGTTTCCTTGTTCTCTACTTTTTATGTCCTTGCTCTGTTTGTGGTTGTTGTTGTGCAGGGTTTTGAACTGTTGGTTGCTGTGCTGGTTGTGCAGGTTTTGACTGTTGGTTGCTGTGCTGGTTTGTGCAGGGTTTTGTAACTGTTGGTTGTTGTGCTGGTTGGAGGTGGTTGTTGTGCTGGTTTTGGTGCATGCCTGTGTCTGTGTCCATGTGACGATGTAAATGTTTAGTAGTACTCTGGTGCAGGTGCTTCTCTTGGAGGGTTTGGTGGTATATAAGTTCCATAGCTAGTATATAAGTTCCACCAGCTGGTAATATAGTTCCACCAGCTGGCACATATGTTCCATCTGCAGCTAATGTCCTACCTGACTTTTCGTTTTTAAGAAAGCATTTACTAGGTCTGTTTTGGTCTGTTGTAACTCTTTTTCTTGACTTTCACAACAGTTGCTCTAACGGCGTCATAGGCACTTTGCATGCCTGTCTTTGCTGCATCTGTTATTTCGTCATATTTTGTGCTACTTCTTTTAACTCTTTGTCGAAACCTTCAGACTTCAGTTTCTTTCCAGATGAGAAGTCGTTCATTTTTCACCTTACTATGAGAGCTTCGAAGGCGTTCTTAAAGTCAGCATTTTTAAAGTTTCATTTGAACTGTCTTCATCCGCTTGTATTTTTGTCCTTATTGACCCTATGAGTTGGGCTGCTTTAGCGTTGGCTTGGGCATCTAACCAGTCATTGTTAGCTTTTATATATTCTGCGCTTTTCATTGCCTTTTGCATGCTGCGTCGTTTTTTTACTTTCTTGTGCTAATGTTTCATACTGTACGGTTTGGTTCTGCAACTGTAAAAGTTTTCTGCCTTTACATTTGCTTCAACTTCTTTTTTATTTCTGCTATCCATATTGTCTTCAGGGTTTTTTTGTTTATTTCTTCATCTTTCAGTACTTTATATGAGTAGTATGGTTTTTCAAATTTATAACATCTTGTTCCATTTTTGCTACTTCTGCTGCTTTTTCTGACACTTTTTTCGCATATTCCTCTGTACTTAGTTCTTTCATTGTTTCTTCTTTCTTCTTTTTCTCTACGTTTAACTCATTGAGTTTCTTTGTGTGTCTGTCATATTCTAGTTTCTTTTCGTTTTCACTTATTTGCTTCTGTATGTCTATGTTTGACTTTTGACATCTGCTATTGATTTTTGAGTGAACTCAAATTCATTTGACTTTGAGGGTTATAGGCGTTGTCTGCAGCTCCACCATAGCCTGCCATTTTGCTAAAAGTGCCGCTCTTAAACCTCCACTCTGTGCACCAATGATCGGTTTAAAAGCATAGGATTGCTTGACATTTGTTGCAACATAGTGGGGTCATTCAGCATTTGTTGTTGCAACTGTTGTTGTGGTGTCAGTTTTACTATTGGATGTTTCAATGCTCTCTTCCTCTTACGTATATTCTTATGTAGCTTACGTGGCATTTTAAGTGAAGTTAAAAAGCGGTTTTATACTAAACATCTTCGGGGCTAGAGGGCACGAAGTGCCTGGAAGCCCCAATACCTTTTTTTTTTTTTTTTTTTAATTCGTAGCAGTTTATTAAGTAAATCGTATATTGGTAAAATTAAAATGGTAAAACTACAATTTTCAAATTTTTTTGTCAGAAATTTGAAACTGGATGCCCTTAGAGATTAAGCTCATTATTCTTCAATGTCATCATATATTATTAAAGAAATACCAAACTAATCCAAGTTTTAAAATATGCTACTGACTTGGCACTATTGTTAAGAGATTTCAAAATTTTGAAGCTCAAAGATGCTTTCTACCTATAGGATTTACATGAATATATAACTGAATCATTCCAAAACCTAATATTTAATAAAAAAAATTAAAAAAATATTGAAAGTATAAAAAATAAATAGTACATACATTGAAAATTTGTTTGGCTTAATTCTTTTTGTATTTGGCAATATTTCATTTTTGGCGGTTAAACGGTTTGGTCGAATCTCCTTTTTGGATTTTAATTATATTTTCGCACGAATCATACTATGTAAATACCAATTTTGATGCGAGCCTGGAATCAACGTTTTTGAAATGCAAAAATTTTTCTTTAGTAAATTCATAAAAAATATGATAAATAGATACTACATTGTATAAAAATAATATTTAATTTATTTAATTTGACTTTTATTTCCTTAAACTATCTCATTAGGTCATGATATCAAAAACAAATAAAAAGTACAAAGTATTTATATTCAGTATGTGCTCTAACTAGTGATGCTATTCTCGCATTCTAGAACACGATATTCATCGAGTTATGATTTAAACAAAAATTACCACCAAAATAAAAGTGACGATGATACCTGGAAATGAAGGGTATTCATTTTCAAAATATAAATAAAAATTGATTGGCGTAAAAAAGCATTTGTTGTTTTTATGTTTAAAGTATATTAGGAAAATGCAAGCCAGAAAAGAAATTGATTTGGAAGTAAATAATGTGATTTCAATTAATTGAATTGAATAGAATATTTTCGCATTTAATAGTGTTGGATTATTGATTTCTGAATGGTATAATTATTGAATTAACACGGTTTTTGAATGGCAATGAAAGGGAAACTGTTATCAGAAATATTTTAAAATATTTATTTAAGAATGCATCCATATTGATGTTAAAAATAATATGTTCGAAAATTTTAGGAGAATCAGTAATGGTTCACAATAATTGTGAAGCATATTGAATTGCATGAAATTGTAAAGAATTGAAGATTTTCCTCTGAAAATGTAGAGTTATATTGAAATTGATTGAAATTAGAATTATTTGGGTTTGGCTATACTTTGTATATACAGTAGGAATTCTCTGACTCATTATATCTCGAAAATTTGAGAATTTTACAAATACTTTGTCCTAAATTTGATTTTATAGCAAATACAATATATATTGCAAATTTTTAATAAAACTGATTTTGTAGGTTTTCTTGTAATTCTTTCAAATTTTTACAATTTTTTTTGAAAGTAGATTGCGTTTCAACTGACCAAATTTCGATTTTTGTTTATAATCATTTACCATCCAACATATCACAACTTGACTTTGTATTTTATAATTCTTTTAATTCAAATAACGCGTAAAATAAACGAAGAATTTTCAAAGTCTTTAAATTAATTCTTCTTTACAATCACATTTAAATAATAATATTAACAAAACAATATTTTTTCACAAAATGTTTTTTTGAGAAAATTTTTCTTTTGAAATTTTAGATAAATTCTAGCTTGTTCTCCATTTACATAAAAATGATTTTATGAATATTGTAATTAATTATTATTAAAAAAATTCAATTCAATTCAAACCTACTCAATAAGCTGCCAAAATATTTGTTGTTTTTCATCCAGCTTTGAAAGCATATCAGCTCTTCTTACTGAACCGATTGCTTGATAAATTTTTCATTTGTCTCAGCATATTAAATCTCTACCAGCGATATTCAATATGAATAATCAAGCATTTAGTTTTGCACATTTATGTATGCACGAATATTAAATTATTCATTCTTTAATTACTCTGATAATAAATTTATATTATTCTTCAAAATACCATATTTTAACAAATTTTACATTAGTATTCATCTAATATTATCTTTATTACTTGATATTTTATCATAGTGCTTTTAAATTTCTTATCTCGATTTTTATTAACATAATTTATTTACAAATCTAGAAGAACTAATTTTAGCATACAACAAATCTAATCTTTCACTCCCATCATGTTTTGTATGACTTATTATTTTAAATTTATTTCAAGTTGTTCATACACTGTTGATTGCTCATACATCGTTATCATGACATATGCTGAATTAAATGTTTTAAATTATGCAGTTTCTCCTTTAATATAGAGTTGAAAGCTTCTCTTTATAAATTTGAAATATTTACAAGAGGTTCTCACACAAAAAAATAAAATAGTTAAATTCAATTGAACCTTAGAATATAGTGATAAATGTTATTAACATTTTAATAATAATACGTAAGAAGGAACATTTAATATAATAAAATAATTAAATGATTGGTAAGTCGGCCATATTAATTTCGCTATAATCGATTGATTCGAATAATGTATTAACTACATCATTGATATCATCTGATTTATTTTCATATGGCTCATAACGTTCTTGTTTGGGAATCAAGCCCAAGCAGTCAGTATGCACCTCATCAAGACCAACACACTTGCGACTCTTGCAAGTCGAATATGGTTCAGTTGAAATTGACATTACATTTTCAAGAGTAGCGTTTCTCCTCATTAATTTCTTATATTGGGATTTTACAGCTACATCAGTTCTATTCTTCATTAATGAACTAATTTTTGTCCATTTTTTGCCAATTTCATTAACCTTCTGTAGAATGAATAAATTCTCCTCTGGTGAGAATTCTGATCTATTGATCTTATTATCAAGATAGTTAAAGAATCTTTCTTTGCATTGTCTAACAGTTCTGTTGCCCATCTGTTGTGAAATGAATTTCCAATTAATATCTTTCCTCTTTGGATAAAATTTAACAAGTTTGATAAGTTTCTCGTCCTCTTTCTTTGTAAAGAGAGCTTTAAAACCTTTCCTGGAACAAGCACAATCACTTGGCAGTGTTGTCATGAATTTGAAATAAAGTGTTTGACAGATTTTTATTGGTTTATCTCATGAAATTATGTTTGGATATTTTTAGTTAATAGGACGAATACGTAAAGATTTTTAAAATATTAATAGATGGTCGTATTTTTATCAAATTTTTCAAGAAAAAATGAAAGAGTTTGTTTGGATATAAAAACGGACGGCTTTGAGTAATATTGAAAAAATAGAATAAATTTAACTCATCATGAGAAATGATATCCAATTGACGATCATAAATAATTCAATTTATTGAGAGGATTCAAATTGTAGAAATTAAATACAATGAAATCCCGAACATTTAAAATTTGATTCATCACTATATGTATGTGTTGCTGAGGGAATTCAATATTAAGGGTGCACCCGTATGTACGTTTATTTGAGAGGAGGAGGATTACCCTCTCAATTTTGAGGGATTCGTTAGTTTATTTTCTCGATGAATATGCAATAAAATTTGATTTTTACCTTATCAATATACTTCATATAATATACACATGTTCATGTAAAAACTTTTTTCCAAAATCCTCAGGAATTAAGGGATTTTTGAATTTTAAGAATTTTTTTCGAATTTTTTCGAAAAAAAAAATATTTTCAGAACAGCCTTAACGGCTAAGATTTAGGAACAATGTTAAGTATCAAAAAGAAAGGAGGTCTGATATAGACAACATATATCGTTGAAGGTTGAAAAAATCTCTAATATTTGAGCCCAAAATTTCAAATTTTAATTTTTTGAAAAAAGAGGCCACCCGTATGTACGTTTCTTTGAGAGGAGGATTATATTTTTGAAAGGGTGAAACATTATGAAAATGTTAATTATATAATAATATGTATTATTATAAAAAAGAAAAAATAAAGCACTTTAATTTTTTTCTTTCTTGATTTTTTACAAAATCTACTTAGAATTATGCAAAATATGACTAAATAATTATAAATTTCAAGTTAAATTTTAATTTTGATAAATAATTTAAATTTCAAAATATCAAGTTCAGTTCGACTATGTATGTAGTAATTCCTCAATAAAGTGCCAAAACCCTATTAAAATATATGAACATTTTCAACATTTTAATGTTTTTATTTAAAAATTTGATGGAATATGAGCTTCAAACAATTATTATGTAAATAAAAATAATTAAATATATGTATTTATTCGTATTACAACCGTAGTAAGTCGATTCTTCCTTTCTTCTACTGAGGTTTGAATTTGATTTCGAATTGTAAAGAGATTCAAAGGGAAAATACTAGCGGATAAAAACTACCTCCATGAAAGGGTCATAATGGAGTCAAGTTGTATTTTTTGATATTTTTTGCTTTTCGAGCCTAAATAGGTAGCCAAGATAATGCCTAAAAATAAGGTTCTAAATTCTGAAGTTTACATGATCCTCTCGTGTGCACCCTTAAGATTTTCAATTCTTAAACGAAAATTTGAATTTGATTTTTTGTTGCTAATTTGATATGTTCACCTTAGTTTTCTTAAAATATTGATATAACATAATTTTGACAAAGCAGTTAGAATTGCTATTGATTTTAACATTTTAAATAAACAGAATATATCTTCAAGAAAGGAGCATAATTACATAATTACTCAGAATTGAAAATGATTAAAGATATCTTAAAATCATATTAACTAGGCTTAACTTAAAAGTGATGAAAAGAAAATATCATTTCATATTTTTTATGGAAATACGATGGTTATTTTCTGAGATCACTTTGAAAATTCACAAAAATTCTTTGAAAAAAATATTTGACATAACCATCTTTATGATACATAATTTATCATTAACTGCATTCGATCATATTCCTTTATAAAAGTTGATTTATTTTTCATTTAATATTCGGTTCTCAATTTCATATTTGATTAAAAAAAATTACGCAACTTATTCTAGAATCTAATTGATTGTAATCAATTACCAATAAGTTGCAGAACTAAAAAATATATTTTTTGCAATCCATGAGTGAAACAATTCAAAACCTCACTTATATCGTTTTATTCAAAGCCACGTGTATGTTATTTCAATACTGCAAGTAATTTCATTGATAATTGCTTAATTTTATCTATTATCTGTGGTTGCAGTCAGTATATTCAAAATTTCAATGATGTTGTCAACCAATTTATTGAATCAAAAACTACATTTTTCCAGGTTCGTTCAGTCATACAATTATCAACATGTTCAATACTCATAAGGCTGATAAACTGTAAAACGATAGTGTGCAAACGTTCAATATTTCGATTCATTTCACATTTCTTATTCAGAAATATATTTTTTAATTTAAATTTGATGTTGTCATGATTATTTACAGAATCAGATGTAATGACGTTTAGTTTAATCAACGAAACTGAATTTTTATGATAAATTTGCCGAATTAAAACAAAATCATTTTTGGAATATTTTTCAGTAATAAATCATATCATTTCTAATAGAATTGTATAATTGATTCATTATTCTATCCTTTAATTTAATATTTGTAGAAAATCAAATGAATATTACTTATTTGACAGGCGTGTATTACTTGCAAATGTTCAATCTATTGTAATTGTTCCGCAAAGTGATTGGAAAACATTGAACTGATCAATGAAAAAGATATTTTACTTATTTTAGGGCTATTAAAATACAAATGAAATTTGAAAATTTCTTCTCAACCAAATTAGGTATCGAACAGAATTTAATTGTCCTATCGATTGTAATTAATATATAATGATATCTTATATTAAAGATTAATTGTTAAAAAATGTAGGGTAATGCAATCAAAACCAAGAATAATGGAAAGTGAAGGATGCTCTTTGTATTGTGAGCTTCAATAAGAATTGATGTCATATCTTGCCATCGAGGTTAATTTTCATATAATCTGCGAGGTTAATTCAAATAAAAATAATTTTTGTCACTTTTGATGGTTTAATAATCTTGTTTTTCATGAAGAACCCCTTATATCCCGACAATCTAAATAGCCATAAACCAATCGACTATTCAATTCAATTGAAGTGAATTTTTTTGTGAAGAAAATTTTTTTCATTATGGATTATTGGCCAGTAATACAAACAGGCATCACTCTTCTGCTGATTATAGCAATTGGATATATAATAACAAAGCTTAGTCTTATCAACAAAGAAACAATTAATTCCACAAATAAGTTCCTTCTGAAATTATGTTACCCACCATTAATATTTCGAGCCGTTGCAAAGCAAAAATTTTCGCAAATTGACTTCCATCCAATGCTTATAGGTTTGTTAATGATTACGGCAAACTATCTCGTTTGTACAGTGATATTTCTTTATCGAAACGAAAAGAATTTTTATTACTATTGCAGTTCAACATTACCATCAATATATACAAACTTTCTGATTATTGGGATTCCTTTCTTTGAAGTCATTTGGGGCGAAAATACAGTTATGGTCACAATATTAAACTTAACAAATGACATTGTTACAGTTCCTATATATCTTATAGTTTCAAATATATATCAGATTAAAATGAGAAATAAAAAGCATGAAGAAAACAAAGATGGAATTGTTGAAAAATTTTCCTTTAAAATTTTACTGACAATCATCAAAAATATTGTTCTAAACCCAATCATGTTCGGTAATATCATTAGTTTCATTTGGGCCGGCTTCGGATGGAATTTTTGTACTTTCATTCAGTCTTTAGCTGATATTGCTGCCAACGGTGTTCTTGCACTATGTCTTTTATGTGTTGGTGGCTTCCTTTCCCAAATGTCCATCATTGCATGTCCATGGGGTCAGTTTTTCTTCTGTATTTTCATCCGTCACTTTATGATGTCATTCATGGCGGTAGTTTTTTGTAAAGTTCTCAATGTCGATCACACATTGGCCAAGCAGTGTACGATTTTGGCTTCATTACCTACCGCAACCGCAAGTTTCTTATTAGCTCATACAAATGAAACTGGTCCTGGTTGTGCATCAACTTTGATTTTCTTTTCAACAATCCTATGCGTCCCAGCCATGATAGCTTGGATGTCGGTTCTAGATGCGCTTAAAATATTTGTTTGATTTGTTAAACATGAAATATTGAAACGTTTTTAATTTTTTTGGATTTTCCATTTGTTTATGGATAGCGATGATTGAATATTAACAGCATAGGATCATGAATCAATATGCATATGATTTAATCATTAGCATCGAATAACAAATATGATGGGTGCTTTTCTGAGAACGTGAATTTATAAAATTATCGTTTTGCTCTTAAAAAAGTGAAAAATTCAATGATGTAAAAATCTAAAGACTGTTTTTCGATTTTATTATATGATTTCTCTTATCCATATGACATAAGATAAGGATCAATAAAAATCTTGGTTTTGGATGCCCCTACAGTTGGTCTGATTAAATCCTGACAAGTAAAAAAAAAAAAAGGTAGTGGGGCTTCCAGGCACTTCGTGCCCTCTAGCCCTGAAGATGTTTAGTATAACTTTGTCCGGACAAGTAAGGGTCTATCGTCGCTACAGGAAAAGTTACCGGCGTTCCAAGGAAGTATACTTTGAGAAGCCTTTTCCCCCTTATAGAATGAGATCGGACGGTTATTTTACAAAACTGACAACACTTTGACCGAGTAGTTTTTTGTGCTGAACAAAAAGTGTCATATAAACATCTGTCAAAAACCGCTTTTTAACTTCACTTAAAATGCCACGTAAGCTACGTAAGAATATACGTAAGAGGAAGAGAGCATTGAAACATCCAATAGTAAGACTAACACCACAACAACAGTTGCAACAACAAATGATGAATGACCCCACTATGTTGCAACAAATGTCAAGCAACCCTATGCTTTTAAGCCGAGTTATTGGTGCACAGAGTGGAGGTTTAAGAGCGGCACTTTTAGCGAAAATGGCAGGCTATGGTGGAGCTGCAGACGGAACAGCTTATAACCCTCAAAGTCAAATGAATTTGAGTTCACTCAAAAATCAAATAGCAGATGTCAAAAAGTCAAACATAGACATACAGAAGCAAATAAGTGAAAACGAAAAGAAACTAGAATATGACAGACACACAAAGAAACTCAATGAGTTAAACGTAGAGAAAAAGAAGAAAGAAGAACAACTGAAAGAACTAAGTACAGAGGAATATGCGAAAAAAGTGTCAGAAAAAGCAGCAGAAGTAGCAAAAATGGAACAAGATGTTATAAATTTGAAAAACCATACTACTCGATATAAAGTACTGAAAGATGAAGAAATAAAACAAAAAGCCCTGAAGACATATATGGATAGCGATGAGTATAAAAAAGAAGTTGAAGCAAATGTAAAGGCAGAAAAACTTTTACAGTTGCAGAACCAAACCGTACAGTATGAAAACTTAGCACAAGAAAGTAAAAATAACGACGCAGCCATGCAAAAGGCAATGAAAAGCGCAGAATATATAAAAGCTAACAATGACTGGTTAGATGCCCAAGCCAACGCTAAAGCAGCCCAACTTATAGGGTCAATAAGGACAAAAATACAAGCGGATGAAGACAGTTCAAATGAAGCTTTAATGAATGCTGACTTTAAGAACGCCTTCGAAGCTCTTCATAGTAAGGTGAAACTAGTGAACGACTTCTCATCTGGAAAGAAACTGAAGTCTGAAGGTTTCGACAACGAGTTAAGAGAAGTAGCACAAAATATGACGGAAATAACAGATGCAGCAACGAGACAGGCAGTTCAAAGTGCCTATGACGCCGTTAGAGCAACTGTTGTGGAAAGTCAAGAAAAAGAGTTACAACAGACCAAAACAGACCTAGTAAATGCTTTCTTAAAAACGAAAAGTCAGGTAGGACATTATGCTGCAGATGGAACATATGTGCCAGCTGGTGGAACTTATATACCAGCTGGTGGAACTTATATACTAGCTAGTGGAACTTATATACCACCAAACCCTCCAAGAGAAGCACCTGCACCAGGACTACCTAAAACATTTACATCGTCACATGGACACAGACACAGGCATGCACCAAAACCAGCACAACAACCACCTCCACAACCAGCACAACAACCAACACAACAACCAACAGTTCAAAATCCAGCACAACAACAACAACCAGCACAACAACCACCTCCACAACCAGCACAGCAACCAACAGTTCAAAACCCTGCACAACAACAACCACAAACAGAGCAAGGACATAAAAGAAGTAGAGAACAAGGAAACCAAGAATTCTTAAAAATGCTAAAGGAAGATTATGGTTACCCAAATACTCTTGACTTTAGTGACAGATATAAAGAAGCTATTAGAAAGTTCAAGGAAGGAAATACTGACCCGAACCTATTTAGCTTTATGGCTCAGCACCAAATGGGATATAATTTCAAACCTGGAAAATACAAACTCGCTAAGGAATATGATTTAATAGCATATCATCCAAATGACATGACTGAATTTACTCCGAGATATTTGGTGTCAGAGCTAAATGACAATTCAACTCTCTTCATGAAACGCGTAAAAAATAGAGACGGAACGAAAGAAGAAAGGTTTATGAGTCCGGATGACTTAGATAGGGAACTTGTTGAAAACGGTCTCGGAATATATGAAATGCCAGCAGATGAGGTACAAGAAACTCAACAGGAAGAAGTTCAGATACAACCAGACATGGAAGAAATAGTTCAGCAACAACAGCTAGAAGAGCCTGAAGGAAACGAACAAGTCCCTCCTTTGGAAACTAACTTCACAGAACTAGATGAAGATTTGGAACAGCCGAAAAATCTTGACCCTCAACAAGAGTATGCGGAGAATATGGAATCTTTCCAAGAGTCTAAGAAAAATTCGGCTGACATAGTAGAAGAATATCGAAAAATGTTTGCCGACATACAAAAGACTCCAACATCAGATGAAAATATTCAGCATAGAATGGAAGTACTGAAAGAAAATGTACGCAAATACAATAACCCTTTTTACTTACGACCATATAACGTTCAATCTTTGGCTGAACTCGGTGAAATAAAAGGTTAAATTTCACCAAAACATATAGAAATGAAACATTGTTTAAAGTTCATTCAGAACCTAACCAATATGGAAACAAACCTACTTTTGTTTCTGCAGACTATGGAACTACAATGAGATGGGGTCATAAAGCTAACCCGGATAGGTGGTTCATAAACTTACAACCACAATTCCAAGAAGTTGTAGACGCAATGGAAGTGAATGGTGAACCAGATATAGCTGGTATTTTCAGCGCGGCTTTAATGCCATTGAAAGATATGAAACATGCAGATATTTTGGACCAGTATGAAATGAACATGGCTGATGGAAATATAACACCTGACGTTCTAGAACATTTATCTCAAAGAACTACACAGAACCATAAAGATGGTATATTTGGTGAAGAGTTTAGAAAGAAAGTTAGGGATAGAGAAGGAAGAGAACCTATTGTACATGACCTTGCAAACGAAAGTTTACAAAATGTCATAAAAACTTACTTTGCAGACAATGAACCGAGAAGGGATGAATATTTAAGTAAACTCAAATGGACAGTACCAAATGAAATGTTAGTATTGAAAAACATGTTCCTTGACAAAATAAAACCAACTACAGAAATAAATGACGCAAGACTGAAACGTTGGGTAAAAGCTTTCCCATTCACAAAAGATATTATTGGTAACATGGAAAGAAAACCAGAATGGCTACAAAAACATATATTTGGAAACGAGCTTATTCCATATGGACAAGCTCTGTTTGAAGAGCTTGAACCGGAAACTCAGGAAAGAGTCATGCAAACAATACGCGAAGACTCAAATACAAACTATGACAAAATCTTTCTAGGATATAGGTTACCTGAGATGGGCGACCAGAGCCCAAAGGCAAAAAGGACATGGGAAATTTACAACATACTAGGTGAACATGAGGCAAAGATGCAACAACTTGAAGCAGAGGGCAAGTTACCAAAAGCGACACCAAAGAAGAAGAGAGTAGAACAAAGTGAAAATAGTGAAGAAGTAACTTCATCTAGTGAAAGTAGTGGCAATGAAGGAAAAAAAGAGTTAAAAACTCAGTCAGGAAGAAAGTAAAGCTTGGTCGGAGTGGGTTCTATTATGACACATAAATCCAACTATTCTATATTTTTACCCATATGAAATGTACGCCGCTCAGAATATAACGCCAACAGTTTTGGATGCCATGAACGGAAATGTTTCCGAATGGTATAACGAATGCGACAATGCCATTAGAAGGTCAGAAATAGTTCCTGGAACTTACGAATATACAACTGCTGTTTCTTATGGAAATGTAGGTGAGTTTGGTGAAGGTTCTTCAACAACAGTAGATATTGCTTGCGACAGGTTTCATATTATTTCTATTGACAACTCATTCTTATACGTGGAACAAGACATTGAAATAAAACCTTCTGCCAAGTTGTCTGACAAGAAAGGTTGCAATGGAATTTTCTATGTCGGATACCAATATGCTCCAGAAGTTTTTATGGATATAAGATATATTCTAACTCTGACTTAGTTCAAACAGTAACATGGGCAAACTATGAATGGTTCGCTTTGAGAAACTCAGTACAACCACAAGCTAGAGAACAAACAGACCAATATGCAACTATTGAGAAAATAAGAAGACTTGACCCTAACGTTCCAGGAGTTTATGTTAACCTTTCTGGTTCAGATGGAAATGCAGTAACCAAAGTAAAACTGAAACTTAGAGTTCCTTTGTCATCTTTCCTCATCTTCAGGTTTTTAAGATACTTGCCAAACTGGGCAGGAAAAATTTCTATCGAACTTACTCCAAGCAAAAATAACTTAGTCATTGCACCAACACAAGACCCATTCACTATTACTGTAGCTGGAACTGGTGGAGCCAAGTTCTGTGACTTTTGCAAAGACAAAGTTGACTTAGACTTTGGTTTCTCAAACTTCAACACTGAAGTAAACTATTATTTCAATGCTGCTGGAACTGCTTGGGACCCAGTTAAGTTCACATGCGAAAAGTTTGAATGCAAGAGAATAGAAAGCAGACTTGCAGTCTATATGTTGGACCCAGATATTTCAAATGCTTTAGCTGCCAAATATATTGCAGTTCCACTTATGTTC